CTCCCTCCCTCCCTCTCTCCATCCCTCCCTCCTTCCCTCCTTCTTTCCTTTCTTCCTTCCAGAAGAGCATGTCCCATCCAGGGAGGCCAGGAGAGAAGTCCAGTGAGAGCCTTAGTTTGTTCTCTGTAGAACAGGCTTGCAGCTCAACAGACTGAGAGGACCTTAACGCCCGGATCCACCCCCTTCATTTAGTACACAGTACACGAGGACACTGAGGCTCAGAGGGGTGGAGTGAGCAACCCAAAGCCACACAGCCAATTAGTGCCAGAAAACAAGGACAGAGCCCTGTTCTGAGTGTCCTGTGTGTCCCCCTCTGGGGTCTTGCTGCTGAAGGCTGTTCCAAGCAACTGGGTGGGGAGAGGGTGGAACCCGGAGGTAAACAAGCTGAGGCGCTTATCAGCAAGAATTCCGAACAGGCAAAATTAATTTTTCAGTTCTCTGAAGATGCTGGAAGCAGGAGAATTCGATTTTAAGTTGAGATAAAGAAAGAACTATCAAGCAGGGAGATCCTGTCAAGATAAAGGCCAGCCAAGCAGCAGCACTTCCCTGTTTTTAATTAACTTTTATTTTGAGTAGGTAGGTATGACAAGGCACAAAATGCAAAAGACACAGAGGGACACAGGCTCTAAAAGAGGTCTGCTATCCCTGCAAGACCCCAGTCCCTGATCACCCAGAGGCCACCGGTTACGGTTTCTTATGGATTCTGCCAGAGAATGCTGTGTATACCCAAGCTTGTGCACATATGCACACATGCTCTTCTTTTGCAACACAGTAGCGTGCTCAGCATACTGTTCTGCCTTGGCTGGCCTTGCGTTTTCACATTTTCAAGACACAGTATACCTTGTGGAGTACCCTGGGCTCAGCCCGCTCCTAAAAACAAAGCCAACAGCACTTCCTAAAGGTATCTATAGACCTCTCACCAGTTACCACTCCAGAAAACAGCAGGTTCTTTCTCTTTCAGTTTCGTGATACACATACATAGACTTTTATTCACTTACTTATTTTTGAGTCGGAGTCTCACTTTGTCGCCCAGACTGGAGTGCGGTGGCACACTCACGGCCACAGCAGCCTCGACCTGCGGGGGTCAGGCGATCCTTCCGCCTCAGCCTTCCAAGCAGCTGGAACCACAGGCGCACGCCTGGCTAATTTTTTGATTTACTGTAGAGACGAGGTCTTGCCATGTTGTCCAGGCTGGTCTCGAACCCGTGGGCTCAGGCAATTCTCTTGTCTCCACCTCCCAAAGTGCTGGGATGACAGGTGTGAGCCACATCAGCGGATCCCCATACATAGACTTTGAGAACCTCTAAGTTAGAAGGAATTTAGAGGTCATTCAGTCAAATATCCAACGTCTTTCTTAGACTTTGAGAACCTCTAAGTTAGAAGGAATTAGACCTTGAGAACCTCTAAGTTAGAAGGAATTTAGAGGTCATTCAGTCAAATATCCAATGTCTTTCTTAGACTTTGAGAACCTCTAAGTTAGAAGGAATTTAGAGGTCATTCAGTCAAATATCCAATGTCTTTCTTTTTTGTTGGTTGACACAAAAATATATGTCTGAATATATGTGTGTGTGTGTGTGTGTGTGCATACAAATATCCAAATAGATATATGTTTGCTGGATAAATAGATGCAGTACATAATTTGCATATATTTGTAATACTTGTATGTGTCTGTGTGTGTGTGTGTGTGTGTGTGTGTGTATAGCTCCAACTATGCTGTGTAGGCAACGCCAAAAAGACCTAGACTCAGAGACTGGCTTCTCAGCCATCACTCTGTGAGAATCCAGACCTTGGGGCCCTAGGCGAAGGGGTCAACGGAAGCAAGGTGGCCGGGGCCACAGGAATGACGCAAGATCGCGACCAAGTAAGAAAGTAGAAAGAAGTAAAGTTCATCACCCATCTTTCACAGATTGGAAAGGGGACCAACACTCAGAGGCAAGCACAGAGGTTAGATTAGAAAATATAGTTTATTTAGAAAGTAAACTAGAGAGATCCACCCGGGCAACTTGGCGAGACCTCGTCTCTACAATAGATCAAAAATTAGCCAGGTGTGGTAAGCGCACACCTGTAGTTCCGGCTACTTGGAAGGCTGAGGCGGAAGGATCACCTGAGCCCAGCACGTCAAGGCTGCGGTGACCAGGAGCATGCCACTGAACTCCAGTCTGGGCGACAGAGTGAGACTCCAATTTTTAAAAAAAGAAAAGAAAAGAAAGTAAACTAGAGAGAGAAAAGGAGATTCCCCTTCCTCAGGGTCGGGGAGGGAGCCAAGGCCAAGAAGCATGGCGACAGTCATAGCTCAAAGAGCACATGGCTACCCTAGAGTCTGGCAAGGTAATAGCAAGGTGGCTGCTTCTGGCTGAGTCCTTTTAACTGTTCCCTTTGATGGGGGCAGGTTGTTAAGGTGTTTGGCTGGTGGTCTGCTCCACCTCATCACGAAGGGACAGGTAAGCACGGGTACTGACGTCAGGTGATGGACGGCAGGCAGGTGGGTGGGTTAGTCACTGGAGTCTTGGATCTTGAGGTCACCAGACTTTAACATCTCATGCCTTCAGATGGTGGACTAGATGGGAGGAGGAAAATTCCCTGCAAGAGACCTGTCAGACATTTGCGATTCACAACCTCCTAGACCAAAAGATGGTCTGTTATCATTTCTATGGCTCTGTCCTTGTTTTGTATCTGATGGAGATTTGCTGGGGGTGAGGTGGAGGGGGATGGTTAGGCTGCTGCTTGGCCTGCCGTGGAATGTCTAAACACTTTCTAAAACCTGCCTGTTGGGAATTTATCTATCTATGTCTAACCTGTGCTAGATTCAAAGCGTGTCAGGGAAAAGCCTATGCAAAAATGGCTATGCTGAGGCAAAAAGACCAAGTCTATTCTAAGTTTCTGTAGGTACCTCCTTTCACCAGGGAAGTACCTTCCTTAGCAAAGGCAATGCTGTGGGGTCCTGGCTTCCCTAAGAGAAGCAGCACCTGTTGGGGCAGGGCCCTAGAGCCCAGTGCAGGAGGACTCTTCAGCCCCAGGTAGAGCCACGGCTCTGTACACACAGGGCTCAACAGATCAGAGGGGCTTGGGGACTCTGTTTGGATAATGAGAAATGTATTGTTTTCTCTCAAGTTGAAATTAAATATCATTGGTAATAAAATGTTAGGAATTTGCCGCTCTGCAGGAGCCAGAGAAGTTTAGTTGCTTAATTAGGATTATTTGAGGTGAACTTTAGAATTTGATTCAGCCTGTTATTGCCATAAATTGACTTTATAATTATTCTATAAAGGTGTGGCGGGGAAAGAAACACAGATACTGCTTAAGGAATCAAGTGATCGGGAGCTTGGCGGGAGAGCCTGTGTACCCAGCATGCTGGTGCCGTTTTTTGCCAGCAGTGATATGGTGGGAGGGGAGGATGATATTGGCAGAGGGTGACCGTCCTTGCCCAGCCTGGTGCATGCATGGCCAGCAGCTCCAACTGCGCGTGGAAATGACACATTTGTCAGGCAGTAAGATGCTTCCTACACCAAAAGCTATGCTGTGGTCTGGAGATGTGCAACTGTGGACCCTTTGCTGTAAGGTTGGAAGGCGATTTTAAAATTTCTAAAGCATGGTGTAGAGCACAGAGAGAAAGATGGAGACAGAATTGGGAAGTTAAGAAGGCTACCAGTGTCACCCAATTCTGTTTATTTTTTTCCTCTCCTTTCTTCCCTGTGTAGCGCTGAAGACCTCCCTAGCTTGACCCGCCCACCTTCCCTCCCTCTCTTCTATCTTCCTTCTTTCCTCTTTCTTCCTCCTTCCCTCCCTGTCACCTCTCTCTCTCTCTCTCTCTCTCTCTCTTTTCCTTCTTTCCACTTCTATTCTTTGTTCCTCCTACTTTCTTCCTGACTATGCTTCCATGCCAGGCATTGTGTCAAGGACGTGGATGTGAACAAACCAGGCACTGCCCTCACCTCCCCATCTGAGTTGACCCTGTGTCACAGTCTTTCGGCTTCTCTCTCTCCTTCCCCACAACTCCTGGTATAATGGACAGGCTCACAGCGTGATATAAATGACTGATGACAATCGACCTATTCAGTCTCTGCATTGTAGCCAGATTCTAAGTCAACAAAGTGAATGCCTAACAGTGGAAATTCCAGATATCTGGAAACCAACTGAGGACTTTGAGGGGATGGCAGGAAAGGGAAAATGATTCTTCCAGAGTTCCCGAAAACAAATTGACCCAGCATCTGGGAGTGTTGGTTCTGCCTTCACCCCCCAAGGTCCAGCTGGAGAAGAATACTGAGTCCGATTCCCTGAAGTCTGGGTAGGGAAGACGCTCTGGAGCCATGCTCGCAGTGGCCTGCGAGGCGGCTATGGATGAGAGAGTGGGGAATAGGAGGTCTTGATGAAGACCCCGGGCTCAGTCGCAGATTGCCCCAGGGACCTGGGAAGAGTTATCATGTCACCTCTCAAATAAGGTGTCTGCAATGACTAACTGGGACAGTGGCTCTCAGCCCCATACAATAGGTGTTCTCCAAAAGAAGGCTCTGCTTCTCCTCCCTTCCGTCCCCAGCGAGAGGAATCACCTGCTGGCATCCAGTGGGGGGGGGTCCTGGGCACCGACGTCCACGCAGCGCCTGCTTCGTGTGGCTTACCACGCTGTGTTTGCCTCCCTAGGGAAGTGTACCGTGTGACGGAGAGCCTGCAGCGGGAGAAGGCCGGGCTCCTGAAGCAGCTGGACTTCCTGAGGTGCGTGGGTCAGCCTGGGGAGTGTTCCGAGAACGCACCCCCACGAGCCTCAGGGTGGGAGGGCCAGGGCTGACCGTGTCTTCCCTGCCCAAGTGCCGCAAAAACACAGCTGCTGAGAGAGCGCTCTCACTCCCTTGGTCCCCAGCCTTGTGCTGGGACCGCCGAGTTCCGCTCTGTTAGGTCTGGTCCATGGACACGCACGCCCACCGCCCTCTCCAGTTTATTCCTCCTTGGGGGAAGCCATGCGTGGAACTTGCTCTGGCAGGAGTGGTGCATCAAGCATCTAATCTATGCCAGATATCCTATCTCTTTCATCTTCCACCCGATGGTTAGGTAAGCGGGGCAGTCGTTAACACAGGAATTCACTGATGAGGAAGTTGGTGTTGGAGAAATGAAGTAATTTGCCACAAGTGACACAGCGATTCAGAGGGAGCCCCAATGGAAACCCGCAGTCGGCCCAGTCTTTTACTCGGCCAAACACTTTTCGTGTTTGTCGAAAGAGTCAGTGAATCGCAAGCAGAGAACTAAGAAAAGAGTTTCCTTAGTCTCCTAAAACTCACTGCCGTAAACGTAAAGTTCACTGGTCTGGAACGTGCTTCCCCCGCCTCCCCAAAGAGAACAAACCCAAGTGGGGAAACATGGAATTTTTGACTTTGCCAATGAAGTTTCTAAGTCACCGGTCCTGCTGCCAGCTGAGCAGCTCCTAGGGGATGGCAATGAAGCAGAAGGACTTTGGGTTCTGACTCTTAACGTGCAAGTGGTTTTGAATCACTGTCCAGGTACATTAGGCAGTTGTTTGTTTTTGCAGAAGCCAGGTAAGCCCACTATGTCTGGCATCTGTGATGCCGCTAAATTGAAAAGGGCTCCAGTCTGAGTGCATTTCAGCTTATCCGCACTCAACACGTGATACAGCCAGGCCTCTCAAGGTGGAGGACGTGTCACGGGTTCCTAGGTGGCCACATTCTAATCCGTTTGAGAGGTCTCGATTCTCAGGAAGGCCGGCATGAGAAGGAGAGAGCAAAATGTGCTCTTTAGAACAAATGCGGGGAGTCTCTTTCTGCTTTTCTTTTTTCTGTTGTGTTTAGAAAGAAAGAAAAGGGCAGATTCAGAGAGAATGAGCAGGGGAGAGTGGTCAGACAGCCCTCTACACATGTAGGTTTTTCATGGAGACCAGCATTTGTGCGTTATCTCATGCCTGGGGCTCTTCTGTGCCATTAGTCGCAGGGGGACCAAGCTTAAGCCCCACCAACGGATGGAAGCCAAGGGCTGGAGAGAAGACCCCACGGCAGAGCCTCCCTTCACAGTGAGACCACCAGCAATCGAGGAAGAGAGAACACTGGGATTGGGTACAGAGGACAGTAGGAATGTGGGGGAGGCCTGGGGGTGGGATGCTGATGAAATCAGGACGGTGGCTGGGCTAGGACGGGGCCAGGAGGACCGCCACCATGATGCCCGCGGGGGTCCACGGAAGCAACCCCAGGGCACTCAGTGAGGAACAGCCCAGCACTGCCCCTCGCTAGCTTGTGTGACTGTGAGCAGTGGCCTGGTGGATCCACCAGCTCCAATCTCAGTTGTCTCCCGCCTGGCCTACAGGCTTCCTTCTGAGAATGAGAAGGTCTGTAGCAGGGCCAAGGGGTGGTGGGAAGGACGTGGATGCACTGAAGGTGCACAGCACTTCTTCAAATACTGTTGCTTCCATACGAAGGTGGCACTCAAAGCCAGAAACAGCACAGCAGGCTCTGCAGAAAAGGTGGGGCTTCCTGGGCCCCCAAAGTCCTCACTTACTGCTAACTTACTGTGCCACAGCGCCGGGGTCCTGCAAGCATGAGCTCGCCTGGCTGTGCTGGGGCTCGTAAAGCACCTCCACCTCCTTCCTGACTCGTTCTAAAGGGCCCTGAGGGGGGCCACCTGCTCACCTTGTACGGTGACTACAAACAACCCAGCGCCTTCTCAGTGTTTTCTGCAAGACTGGGGGACTTGGAGGTCCAGGGCCTGCCTGAAATCTATTCCTCTAGGGCACTCCACACTCAGCAGAGAGCCTAGCCTGCAGGGAGTACCCCGTAAACGGCCGCATCATCATGATTAGGGCCTGACCACGGCTGTGCCCTTCCTGCCTCTCCCAAAGTGCGGGCTCGTTCACGGGCGCCTGGGCAGAAGAGTCGCAGAAGCACAAAATGGCAGCTCACTTTGAGGTCATGTGGCCCACCCTCCCCACCTCTTGCGGTGATGGATGACATTCCCAGCCATCAGGATTGAGTGCGTGCTGCAGTCACACGGCGCCTGTCAACTCCTCCTTGAAGCCTCCGCCTCTTGCCGGTCCATCCTCACACCTGGCGCTTGTTTCACAGCAGAACCATGACAGACGGGCTGCCTGCTGCGCCCAGATCCCTGCCTTCTTCTCTGTTGTGGTGGACTAACTTTCCCTACTCCTAGAAGAAGCTCCCTCCCCACTTATGCCCTAGAATTAGAGCCCACTCTCTCCTGCTTCCTCAAGTTCTGTCCTGGCTTTGGTGCTCTCTCTCCTCTATCGTCAGTTCTCTCTCTTTTGGAGAAACCTACAAATGTGCTCTGATATTTCTCACCCAGCATGTCTTGTCCTCACTTCCCCAGCCAGCTCCTTGCTTTTTCTTTAATCCCTTTTTGCCAAACTTTCTAAAGATTTGTTCACACTCATGTCTCCCTCCTTTTCTCCACATTCTCAACCCTCCAATTGGGCTTTCCCCCGCCCCGTCCCAGGAAAACAGTTCCTGCTCAGGTCGCCAGTGACCTCCGTGCTGCTAGAAATTTTGGTGGAGTCTCAGAACCCCCTTCTTGTCCCCAGCAATCTATTTTTCGCACAACACCCAGAGGGATCCTGTGAAAACTGCAATCGGATCCACCCTGCTCCCCCCGCCCCCCACCGCCGCCCCTCCACCCCTTGGCTTCATATCTCATCGGCAGCAAAAACCAACCTTTGTACAGTGGCCCACAAGGCTGTGACGGAGCAGGTCCCCATTTCTTCTCTGGCCTCATCTCCCTCGGTACTTACTCACCCCTGGCGAGCACTCCACCACCTCCGATCTGTTCTTGCACAAAGGGTGTGTGCCAACTCCAGGCTTCCCTGGCTGTCTCCTCCACCCAGAAGGCTCCCACAACACCTGCCAAGCTCCTCTCCCCCTCAACTCAAGAAGGCTTGATGCTGCCTTCTCGGTGAGGCCCTCTCTGACCGCTCCACCCTCTGGCTCCTCTTAATCCACTTTTCTGCTTTATTTCCTCAGTAGCAGCTATCTCCTCACTAAAACACGATTCTTATTTATATTTATGTTTTATTCACTGAGGCGACCCCGATAGCTAGAAGAGTGCCTGGCAAGCAGCGGGTAGGAAACATTTGCACAAATGCACCTGTGAATGAATGAAGGGTTCCCAGATGGAGGAGGGAGCCCAACGTCAAGTTCACAGGCAGAGCTGGAACTCCTGGTCGCCCCCTCGTGGTAGGAGAGACCGTGCATGAGCCTGATGGGCTATGGGTGTCTCAAGGCCGTCCAGTCTGTCCCCGCCACCCCTGCTCTGAGTGTGCCGTGCGTCCACACAAACTATCCTCTACCATTAGTCACGCACCCAAGAAAAGAGAGTCCACAGTCTCCCTGGCACTTCCACACCAAGCCTCACTTGCACCCATCTGACTAGCACGTGGCCCATTATTGGCTCTGTCAACTGCATACTCGACGTTTGAATCGATTCCCCTTTGCTATTCACAGGGAAAGAAACAAACATCTTCGGGATGAACGGGACATATGTTTTCAGGTAACCGGCCGGTTCTTCCTCATAAGGGTGAGAACCAGGAGACAAGGACTGTGACCCAGCGGGCAGCCGGGTCCAAGAATGTTTTGACACTTGGGATCTGTTTAGCAGGACGATGGACTAAGATTTTTTTCTCCCTTTGGGCAAATAGTAAAAACGCCGGGCCTCTTGGGGAACAGTGTGTTAATTTTGTACAAAGTAACACACTCTCCTCTTGGTCCGACAAGACTGAAATATTTGGAAGGGTCACACATTTCTTGGATGCAGGAATGATAGTTCTAGCCATGAGATGGCGCAGTTGAAATGCCATTGTCACGTTTTAACCAAAATGCTCACGGTTTTCTTCTTCATTTGAATTTTTATCTCGATGAAAAATTTGCATTTTTGCACTGTCAAAGAAAAAATTGGGATGTACATCTCACTATTTACATCATTGATATTATGAGCAATTTTTCTCTGTCCCATAGAGACCTCTACTCTTCCGTGTCTGAGTATATGTCTGTATACGTCCCAAATAGCATGAAATTCTATATTTACTTAAGGGTCTTCATTGTGAACCACATTAAACAAAACCTAGAGTTCCATGCTCCCCTACTCAGTTTTCCATTTAGACAGAAGCCACTGGTACCCTGACAGGAAGAAAAATGGAGTCAGGATGGATTGATGTGGCTTCCTAGTTATCAGAATGATTGCATCATGGATTTCATGAGAGTCATGAGTCACCTTGGACCATGACCCTGGCTGCCACATGAGGAAAGATAATTCCTATTTCCCACCCACAATGCCCATATTACAGGAATTTTTGCAAAACATTATTGGAAAGAGGGTGATGTGTACTGGACCCTTAGCTGAACAATGACCTAAATACGATCAGCAGAAGACAGCTGGTTTGCCCTAAATTAAGTCCAACCTGGTTTATAACTGCAAGTCCCTGAGGGACCTCGTTACACCTCCATTTCTATTTTTGTTCTTATTTTTATTTTATTTATTTTTTATTTTTTGAGTTGGAGTCTCACTCTGTCACCCAGACTGGAGTGCAGTGGCCGTTCCCAGCCACTGCAGCCTCGACCTGCTGGGCTCCGGTGATCCTTCCGCCTCAGCCTTCCAAGTAGCTGGAACTACAGGCGTGCACTACCACGCCCAGCAATTTTTTTAATTTTATTATAGAGATGAGGTCTTGCCAAGTTGCCCGGGTGGGTCTCGAACCCGCCGGCTCAGACAATCCACTCACCTCGGCCTCCCAAAGCGCAGGATTACAGGCTTAGCCAGTGAGCCCGGCCGATTATTTTTATTTTTTAGAGACAGGATCTCACTCTGTCACCCAGGCTGGAGTGCAGTGACAACCTCAACCTCCTGGGCTCAAGTGATCCTCTCACCTCAGCCTTCCACGTAACTAGGGCTACAGATGCATGACACTAAATTAGGCTTTTTTTTTGAGTTGGAGTCTCACTCTGTCGCCCAGACTGGAGTGCAGTGGCCGCTCCCAGCCACCGCAGCCTCAACCTATTGGGCTCCGGCGATCCTTCCGCCTCAGCCTTCCGAGTAGCCGGAATTACAGGCATGCGCTACCACGCCCGGCTGATTTTTTGATTTATTGTCAAGATGAGGTCTCGTTGCCCAGGCGGGTCTCGAACCCGCGGGCTCAGGAGATCCACTCACCTCAGCCTCCCAAAGGCACAGGATTACAGGCTGAGCCACCGAGCCCGGCTGCTTTTTTTTTTTTTTTTAACGGAGATGGGGGTCTTTCTATGTTGCCCAGGCTGTTCTCCAACTCCTAGCCTCAAGTCCCTCCCACCTCAGCCTCTCAAAGAAGTGGGATCACAAGCAAAAGCCACCACACCCGGCCTTACAGTTTCTCTTCTACCACTGACTGGCAGCAAACATCTCTGCCATCCACCTATGTGTCTATTAGAGCAAGACTTAAGCCTACACATGTTTGTTTGATGATAGCAATGGTTACAATTATTTTTGAAGTGAAACTGAATGTATTTCAAAACTTCCAACCCAATGTCACCCTAATCTCCTCGCCTCAATTCCCTTCACCTGCCAAACTCACTCTGCTTTGAAAGGGAGAAGGAATCAAGAACTCCGGTGGGGAACAGAAGAAAGAGATACAATCATGTCGCTGCTGAAAGATGAATTTGGAATCACCATAGCCTTGCCTTCAGGGGCTCTGAAAACTTTGCAACTCCTCCTTCTCTCATTAAGGATCATTGGGAAACATGGGATGGCTGGTTGATGAGAGAATTTTCCTGTGATCTGACTCCCTCTCATCGCCTGTGTTTGAGAGCACTGGTGAAATGAGAGTTTGTAAGCTCCTACTCCGCCCAGGTTCTCTCTTACAGATGTTTGAGCGATTTATCCACACCCAGGCTATTTCCACAACCAATCTGAAATACATTATGCTAGCTTGCAAGCTGTGGACAGCTCAGAGCTCTGAGTTAATTGATCCTCTGGGCTGGTCCTTTTCTGGTTATTTCTGGAGCTTTGGGAATAAAGAGGGACTCGAGCCATCAGGAAGAGTGTAAATTAAAGATGCTCCAAAGTTTTTGGTACCTGTCAATATTTATCCTAATCCTTAACGGTTAGCTCTCCTTCTTTGTTCGCTTGTAAATTATTGGTGCCCCTGTGAAGATAACGCGATGGACCCTAGACTTTAAACTATGTGTTTGTTCATTTGATTTGATTATTAGAAAGGAGATAGAGGGAATCTGGTGAGGGATGACGGCAAAGGGGAGAATGGGTGCACGCTCACAGAGAGACCAAGGTGTGGCTCGCTCCCTCCAGAGTTTAGTTTGGAGCCCGTCTTGTGAGATGGGAACCATGAGCCCTTTTCTCCTCAAACACTGGGGCATTCCAGCAGGCATGCATCTGAGGGCATTTTGTGTTTCTACAGAAAGATAAGGCAGCCAAGGCAAACACAGCTGCTTCCAAGGCAAGCTGGAAAAGGAGGTCTGGCTCCGTGATAGGCAAATATATGGACAGCAGAGGGATTCTTAGAAGGTAAGTTCCCATCTTCCATGTGTTCATCCGTTCATTCATCTGGCGCTCGTTGGGAGCCGGCTCTGGGCCCAGACTCAGTATGGGCTGGCTCCTCGAGATGTGGCCCTGGTGGGGAAACTGAGGTCAGCTGCGCTCGCTCCCCTCGAATCCCAGAGGACATGCCCCTTCCTGTTCTGACCTCCAAGCCAGAGGGGAGCTGAGCAGAGCAAACCCCCAGGACAGGCCATGGTCTTCCGAGGACACCCTTGTGTGTGTCTGTAGAAAGGAACCCTGAGAAGCAGCCGGGTCAAGGGAGAGAGACAGTTCTCATGTCTGCTGAACAGAACGGATGTGCTTGGCTTATTAGGGACATGACTGCATGGGCTGTGAAGCTTAATTAAAGTGTCATATGGAATCTCCAATAGTTGGACTCCTTTTACAGACAAGACAGGGTCCTGTGCGTGGCAGATCGTTTCAGTGATTCATACTTAATTAACTCAAAGATAACATGTTTTGTTGCTGCTGGGCGGCACATGATTGAGTTTGGGTACCCCAAGGGTTGGCTCATTGTTTATTCAGAGAGACAAGTCAGTCCCCCGCCCCCTCCTCTTCTTGGCATGTGCTCCGACCACATAGATGACCACAGAGACAGAGGCAGCCAGACCCTTGAGTGTCAGACACAGGGAGACCCGGAAGATGGCAAGCACGAAATAATAAGCCATGCAAAGGGAAAGTGACTCTCTGGATGTAAGTCAGTTCATCAGTAAAATCTGTGGTCCTGATCGTCACGAATTCCTTTTTTAAAAGGCTGAATAATTAGATACATCTTGGGAGCCAAATTCCTGCCATAGTAGTTGGCCTCTTGATTCCTCAGAACTGAATGGATTGATTGCTTGCTTGATTGATTGATTCAACAGACATTTACTGATCACCAGACATCCTTTTGAGTTCTGTGAAGGCTCCCAAGGCTCACGTCTAATTTATCATTCGTATCCATTATTAAATGTTCACATAATAAATATATATCGAGTGCCTACTGTGTATCAGGTACTGTGCTGTGTGCTGGGTACACAGTGGTGAGCAAAATAGACCCAGCTGTGTCTCCTGGAGCTTACAGTTGAGTAGCAGAAGCAGGCAAAAATCCGTAAGCAACAAATTGGGAACCCTGAATTCTAATTGGCAAAAGTAGCTACTCTCTCTACCACTGGCAGACGGTGCCCAAAATGAACTCAGGCACGCTCAGCTGAAGGTTTTACAAAATGTCAGTAGTGCTTGAGAATTTCCCAGATGAAAAACTTCTTCCAAGAAACGCTTCGTGTTAGGGGCTATCTAGGTGTCTGTTTCTCTTCTGGTTGCAAAGCCTTTGAAAAACCATGCTCTGTGTGTGTGCATACTTGACCATGTGTGTGTACAAAAATTCACTCTTGTGTGTACAAGCAGAGTGGATGGAAATGCGCTTTGGGTTCTAAAGCAGATAAGCATTTGCTAGGCTCCATGGAATAGAAAGGAAGCTTGTTGAAAAGAAGGAAGACATTTGACTTTTAAGAAAAAAATTACTATTTTATTTTATTTATTTATTTATTTGAGTTGAAATCTCACTCCGTCGCCCAGAATGGAGTGCAGTGGTACACTCCCGGCCACTGCAGCCTTGACCTGCTGGGCTCCAGTGATCCTTCCTCCTCCACCTTCCTAGTAGCTGGAATTACAGGCGCGCGCTACCACACCCAGCTAGTTTTTGTTTATTTATTTATTATAGAGATGAGGTCTTGCCAAGTTGCCCAGGCCGGTCTCGAACCCGCCAGCTCAGACAATCCACTCACCTCGGCCTCCCAAAATGCTGAGATTACAGGCTGAGCTACCGAGTCCAGCCAAAACTACTATTTTATGAAAAAAATACTATTTATAGTGCTTGAATTGCTGCAAATCCTTTATTTTATATCAAGGGATCCAAACTATTAATAATTCATCCTTTTTGTGAGCAAGCACCATGTCTCCATTGATCTTTCAGAATTGCAGTTAATGTCAGGATGGCAATACGTGCATGCTTTTTTTTTTTTTTTTTCCTTTTCCTTCCTACTGTTTGGTCTTTAGGAATATATTATAAACCGGGGGAAGGGTGGTGGTGTTGGGGGAGGGAAGGGTGTTTCTCTGTTCTGCCTGTCTATGTTCTTTTTTCTTTCTCCTTTGGCTCTCTCACCAAGATTTTTTCCCATTCCGTTTCCTTTGTGTGTGTGTGTGTTTCAGCTTTGGACTTAAGGTCCTCCCTGTCAGACTTCTACCCCTTTAAGACAATTCTCAGCTTTAATTCCTCACAAAGACCTGAGAGGCTTCCCATGCTCAGAGGGATCTGTGAGGCCTTGGATCGCAAAGCCTCCCGAAAATGCAACCTGTGCATTGGCCCTGCATCGGTTGCCCAATTCCCTGCCTGCTACAGCCTCTCCTCGTCCTTGGCAGTCACATGCTTCTAGAAGCACGTCTGCACTTGGGCTTCGGAGGCACTTACTCCTGCCTCCAATTTTCAGAGACACGGAAAGAGGAAGAGGAAGGGTGGCGGGAGGGCCGCTGCCTGACTGCCTTCTGATCTAAAGCCTGTCTCAAGGGGGTGGCTGCCTCCCGGCCCATGGAGCTTCTGTGTGTGGAGGTCAGGGCTCCTCCCCAAGCACCAGTCTCCCACTGCTGGGGGACATTTGGGAGCATGTCTGTTTTTGTGTGCTGTCTTACGTGTGCAGAGGTAGGGGCAGGTGGGCATATCTCATGGCAAGGCGTGAAGAGTTGAAGCAGCTTTCGTAGGGACACACAGTTATTAAAGCCTGGTGCCGGGAACACAGCCAGAACCACTTGGTTGTTAGTCCAGGTGCTTTATTTTGGAATGTGTGCCCTCTCCTTCATAGGACTCACAATTTGTAAAAGAAGGAAAGAGGAAGGAAGGAAGGAAGGAAGAAAAAAATGTGCTGATGTGTGTCATTATTGCTTTAGCTCCTTTATAGCACTCCCAATTTGTAAAAGGAAGGAAGGAAAGAAGGAAGGAAGAAAAGAATGATCAAAGAAAAAGGTGCTTATGTGTGTCATTATTGCTTTAGTTCCCCCCCCACCCACCCTGCCAAGGCAGGCATTCCGTGAGGACAGGGGCTGTGTCCATCTGTTCGTGACATTTTTCGCGAATACCTGGCCGTCACCATCACCGTCACCGTCATCGTTATCCCATTTTCCACAGTCGCAGGCACTTAGGAGAAGCACGTGGAGTGAACAAGTGAAGAAAGACGGGTCTGGTCTGTTTCTCCCTTTCCTGGGGCTCTCGTCTCCAAAGACCTAGAATTGCTCTTCAGTCTTGGGATTGTCCCAAAACCTGGCAGCTCACACTGATATTTTTTTGCGTCCTCCCACTCTTGCTTCTTCCCACCCCAGCAGCCAGTCAGAGGAGGAGGAGGATGTGTTTGGCATCCCGAGGAGGAGGAGCTCCCTAGGCCTGAGCGAATGTCCCTTGACAGAAGAGGAGTCGGGAGGCAGGGAGCCAGGGGCTGGGGGGCTGCCTCCCCGGGCACTCCGCAGAATCATCTCCATCGAAGAAGACCCACTGCCCCAGCTCCTGGATGGTGGCTTTGAGCAACCCCTGAGCAGATGCCCAGAGGAGGATCGGGCCTCCAGCCAGGGAGTGGAAGGACAGACCCAGGAGGCCCCACCCTCGAAACTCACCCCTGTTTCTCCCCGAGGGCAGCCTGTCGGAAAGGAAGCCCTCTCGAAGGTAAGGCACATCCCACGTTGGTGTGTGGTCTTCGCTTCTATGACTTGGCCCTCACATTTGAGCCCAAGAGTCCCAAGAGTCGGATCAGGAGGTCAGATGCTGCACATATCTTGTGGTAAATCATATGGGGGGAGGCCCCCCCAAAATAGGAATTGTCTTTTGGAGGGTCAGCCCCTTGCAGTGCACTTGGGATTTGTTTCTCTGGCTCAGACGGTCAACCAAAGTTTTTATCTGGACGTTTTGGGAAGGTTACATCTGTTTTGCGGAAGAAACGTCCCAAGTTGTGACAAACAGGTGACTGGTTCTTCCTTCATGCCAATGCACTTGCCCACACCACGTTGATTGTTCGGCAGTTTTTAAAATCAAAATTGGCATAACTACCATGCCTCACACTCCCTATTCACCCAATTTTGCCCAAATGACTTTTTGTTTTTGATTTCCTGGATGAAAAAAATCCTCACAGGGAATCATTTTGCTGATGTGGAAGAGGTGAAACAAAAAACGGCAGAAGCACTAAAAAACATCAAAACTGTTGAGTTCAAAAACTATTTTGAGCAGTGGAAAAAGCCTCTCAATAGATGTATTGCGTCAAACGGAGAGTTCTTTGAAGGTGACTGAAGTTTAAACAAGTAAGAATAAATACACAATTTTTTTTTTTTTGAGTTGGAATCTCACTCTGTTGCCCAGACTGGAGTGCAGTAGCACACTCCTGGCCACCGCAGCCTCGACCTGCTGGGCTCCATCGATCCTCCCGCCTCAGCCTTCCGAGTAGCCAGAACTACAGACGTGCGCTACCACACCTGGCTATTTTTTATTTTATCGTAGAGACGAGGTCTTGCCAAGTTGCCCGGGCTGGTCTCAAACCCGCGGGCTCAGGCAATCCACTCGCCTCAGCCTTCCAATGTGCTGGGATAACAAGCTGAGCCACCGAGCCCAAACAGTACACAATTTGTATAAATAAATTCCAGATGTTTTGGGAAACCCCCTCATACATGCATCCCCTCCAAATACCACTTTCCCCTGAGTGTCATGGGGAGAGACGAGGATCCTGATAAATTCTCCTAATAACCTCTGTTCCCCCCCATTTCTTACCCCGTGTTTTCTCTTCTGATTCAGATTCAGAGGTATTAATTGAGCACCTCCTTAAGCCGGACCCGGTGCTAGGCTGTGGGCATACAATTTCATATACTTTAAAAGTTGCACATTTTGTCACCGCTCTCAGCAGGGCCAATCTCTGCCTTAAAGAGTTTGCACACCATCATTTTTATACAGCTTCTTGATCAGCTAATCACCCTTTCATTTCCCAAGTCCCTGCCTGCACTCCCCGTCTGGTCTCCCTGCTGAATCTGGGGAGAAAGGAGACTATATGCACAGCCTTCCTCTGCTTATGGTATTAGATGTTCTCTGCCTCATTTGTGACCCAGACCTCAGAGGAGACTTCTGGGGCCACCATCCTCCACTTTTCTATCAAAAACAGCTTTAGAAATACCCATGGCGCCGGGCTCGGTGGCTCAGCCTGTAATCCTGCGCCTTTGGGAGGCTGAGGTGAGTCGATTGCCTGAGCCCACGGGTTCGAGACCCGCCTGGGCATTGAGACCTCATCTCTACAATAAATCAAAAAATCAGCCGGGCATGGTAGCGCGCGCCTGTAATTCCAGCTACTCGGAAGGCTGAGGTGGAAGGATCGCCGGAGCCCAGCAGGTGAGGCTGTGGTGGCCGGGAGCGGCCACTGCACTCCAGACTGGGCGACCGAGTAAGACTCAAAAAAAAAAAAGAAATGCCCCTGGCAACGTGGAAGAGTCTCCTCCCCAAACACCGTGGCAGTGTTGAGAACCGAGCCTTTGCCACCTGGAACTTTTCCTGGTGGCAGTATTAGCGTGTGAGCCAGGACTCGAACTTCTAGGCAGAAGTTCCCCTTCTTGGGCTGGGATTAAGATTCAGGCCTGTATATCCGTCTTTGGAAGGTCCCTGGGGCAAGGAGAAAGTGGAGAGCAGGATAGCGCTGATGCCCCCTACCTCCTACATCCCTGCCACATCCCCTTTGGCCCACCGTCCTACACTTGCTGGCAGCAGGCGCAAATAGGGCCTCACCCCAAGATGTCTCCCCAAGAAGAGTCAAGAGGTTAGTAGGAGGCAGGTGCAAAGAAAAAGGCCAAGCATCTGTATCTGCTGTGGCATTTCATCCTCACGTTGTCTGATGCGGCAAGTCCAGGTTTACAGCGTGGATGTTGGAGCCCAGGGTGGGGAGGCCATGGCACCTCACAATGACAAAAGTCCAGGCCCCTGAGAAGTCTCCACCACTGCTGTGCTGAGACTGCAGCAGGGAGGAAGTGTAATTCCCTAGACCCCACAAAACGGCTCCAAGAGAGGGTCTGCTCTTTGGAAGCTTACCTTGACGCATGCCCTCCCATCCAAGGCTGGTGATGCATACATCAGCCCTGCCCTTCTGGAAAGTTGCTTGATAATATGAACCAAGAACTTAAAAGTACCATATGCTCTGAACCAGCATTTCTACTTCTGGCAATTCTTCCTAAGGAAATAGCCAAACTCGGGACGAAGATTGAATTCAAGGATGCAAGAGTGCTTTGTAATGGCAAACCGTTTTTTTAATATGCAGTAGGGACATCAATCATAGTATATGATTTTCCAAAAAATTCAGTGGCTCAGAAAATACTTATAATGTAATCATAGATGATAAAGCAGGATAAGGTTTTATATCTCTGTATAATTTCAAATCTCTTTAACTGAAACATGTATCCATATATCTATATTAAAAGGCTAGAAGAAATGCATCAAGATATGAATTGTGGCCATTTCAGGGTGGTAGCGTAGAATATAAATAATTATCGTGTCGACTTTTCCGTATTTCCTAATTTGAAAAATTAGCATCTGTTTTATGTTTTAAAAGCTTTTTTTGAATATGTAAAAACATGTAGGAGAGAGGATGAGAAGAGATCTTCTGATTTGCCAGCCCCCTCCCCAAAATCTGTTGTGTGTGGCAGGTGACCCGTCCCTCAGCGGGGACAGTGGGTTCGGTGTATGAACACAGGTAGGCAGTCACCGCTCTTGGGTGCGTCTCGCCTGAAGCTAAGCCATCAACGTGTTGATGGCTTTTTGCTTGCAGGAGAGCACTTTGCCTCGGGTAGGGGGCAGTGGTCACAGGGCTGTGTCAGGCCATACCTCTGCCAGCAGGACCATTGCCTCCCATCCTGGGTGTCACAGTCCCTGCCTCCTGCCGTGCCTAGGGATAAGCAGACAGACACACTGAGTCTTAGCCTCAAACAGATGACAGTCAGAGGACCAGCAAAGAGTCAATGCCCTCGTACATTGTCTGAAGACAAAAAAAAAATGGGGCAGGGGGTATCGTTTTTGAGTCCAGGTTATTATGACTTTTTTCACTTTTAGTATAAATTCCTGTAGTCGACCTTGAAGTCCCTCCTAAGTACCACATGGAATTGATTTCTCCCCAAAAGGCTGTTAATGGCTTTTCTCTGAAACTCAAGTGCTGCTAATATCAGCCGCTACTCCATTATAGTATTTGCTCAATGAGAGGAGCTAATTCCCCCAAATCCACGTTTAAATAGACTCAGAAGAGCCTTCTCGCTTGACCAGGCGACGCTGAGCTGGGTCTGGAGGCGAGATTCCAGGGAGCTGGCTGCAAGGAGGATGATTGTTCCACGGAAGGATCCTGTTCGGAAAGACCAGGCCTCCCTCCACCTCCCGCCTCATCTCACCGTGTCTGAGGGCGAGTCCACTCCCCTCCGGACCTCAGTGTCCCAGCCTGGTGGACCGGCAGACACCCAGCTACCCCCTTCTGCCGGGCCTGGGGGGAAGCCACCGTAACTGGCTGACAGGGGGAGCTCTGCCCGGTGGAGACCATATTGGCTCAGTGGCCCAAGGAAGATGGCGTGGCCAGGATGCAAGATGATGAGATGGGACAGACGGCCGGGGATAGGGAGGCAAGAGCCTCCCTCTGCAACCCAGGCTCCGGTGGCAGGGAAGAGATCAGAGGCGCTGTCCCGGCCTAGCTTTCTGCTCCTGCCATGTAGATAAGTCTTCTTTTGCCTTTCTCTCCTTCTCCCTGCAAACAGCCATCTTGTCCCTCCCCGCATGGAGAATTCTTGAAACCCAGAGTCCCCTGCCCTGTGGATCCTGGGTCCCTGCTCTGTGCTTGGGGCTTGTGTTTGACCCCTGCCCTGGAAGCCAGAGTTGCCCTCAGCCCTGCCCCAACAGGACGGGCAACACATCCTATGGGGTGGCTGCTTGGCCTCCCCTCTGCAGAGATCACTCTATACCCTAGACCACACTCGCTGGATTCTGAGGCTGCCGCGGCCTCCTTGATGCTGGTCCAGGGTCCCATCCACCTTCCCCCGTGGGCCACGAGAGGGACACGCGAAGGGCAAGTGGGGGCTGGAGCCAGACTCTCTGCTGTCCACAGGAGGAAGATTCCCCCTTGGCCCCTGACCGGCTCTTCAAGATCGTGTTCGTGGGCAATTCTGCCGTGGGAAAGACATCCTTCCTTCGGAGGTTCTGTGAGGACAGGTTCTCCCCAGGCATGGCGGCCACGGTGGGTGAGTTCTTGTCCCTGGGGTGGGTCCCAGGTAAAACCTCTGGGAAGGGGGAGCTGTGGGAATTGGCTAGGAGGGACGCTGGTGTCTACTTTGATCCACAGGAATGCTGGGAGGGATGGCTGGATACAGCTCACCTCCCCTCACGCCCCGACTGCCGAGCTCACTCTGTGTGTGGTGGGACCCCTGGGTGCTTCTAGTCCAGCCCAGGCATTCAGGGCTGTGAACCAATGTGGAGTCATTGGATCACCGGACTTGGCATCCTGGGTTCTAGGCGATTTAGCTAACTCCAACAGTTGGTCTGATGATGGAAAGAAATCTCGGAAATGGTCTGTTCACATCCTCTCATTTCGGCAGTCAGAAAATTGAATGCTTAGAGTGCTTCTAAGTCCAGCCCAGGCTCTGTGGAACGACACCGGGCAAAGGTTGACTGGAGGCTCCTCCCCCGCAGTGATCTCCTTATCCCTTTGACTGCCCCTTCCCGTGGTCCACAGGACCCTGGGTGTTCCTGCTCCCCCAGGTCTGACCAGGATTCCTCCCAAGGTCCACGCCCTGCCACACTCCCCACTGCCTTCCTGAAGGTGCACTCCTTCCTGGCCTGGCCCCTCCATGTATGTGTGCGTGCGTGCGTGTGTACATGGGGGACAGGGCTCTGGATGGCCTCTTTTCACCATTAAATGTAACCCGTCCTGCGTCCCAGGTCTGCTGGGTGACAGCTGGACTTAATCGTGGAAGCTCATTAGGCTCGGCTATTAATGGATTATCGTGGCTTAATGCCCTCCCATTCTGGGCAATATTTTATTTAAATAGAGGCCTTAATCCCTTCACCCAAAGTTGCAGGTTGCGTTGGAATATTCGGCGCAACCCAAGGGCATATGAACTTCAGCTTCAGCGAAGGTGAATCACTCAGCAAAAAATAAGTACGCTGAGCGCTATTGCGCTGAGCTGATAAGTAAACTATGCTTGAAAATATGCTTCTATGACCTGAGTATTTCCCAAGAGCTTTTATATTCATCATTTCAGTCTGTCTTCACTCTGGGGACAGGTGTTGTTATCAGTCCAAAAGATAGATCAGGCCAGAGAGGTTAAGGGCTTACCCACTTTCTCTTAGTGCTAATACTCGACCTCCCGCCCCGCACACACTTTCAATCCATAGTGTCCCTACGAAGATTGAGTTGCAGCCCGAAGCACCCCATGAGTGGTGAGGACACTTTTCTGCCTCGGGATAGGCAGACGTGGGTGCAGGCCGGAGAGGGTTGGCAGTTCAGAAAGACAGCAGAAGCTCTGAGTCCTCATTCCAGCCCCGCCACGGATCAACGGCGTGACCTTGAGAGGACATGATGCCATCTGAAAAACGAGACATTTGAATGGAGCATCCCAAGACGGTTCCAAGCCTGAGTCTCTGACACAGCCATCTTTGGCCTTTGGCTGTCCACCAAACTGGTTCTACAGGGCAAACTGTCCAGATCCCAGAGTCCTGCCTGGGGAGATTCCTTTTCTTTCCCTTGTCCTAAACTGGCCCTTCCAACATTTCTCTGTCCCCACCCACATGTTTTGGTTGTCCCATCCTTACTGCCAGGCCCAAGTCTGAGAGCATCCCAAGATAAAGGATGCTGATAGGAAGGACAGAGCCTGCCAACCAAACTCAGAAGGGCCTGGCCTTGTCCGGCCTTGAGCAAGGAGCAGCTGGGAGTGTGCAGAGCATGGTGACCCCGGAGGCAATATCTTCGAAGATCTACTCGCCTTCCCCGGAGGGTGTTCCAAGGGGAGGGCCGCACCATCATGGCTCCGGCGAAGGCCTGTGGGAGACAGGGGGGACAGATGCCCAGACCCCAGACCTCAAAGGCATGTCCCCCGAGCAGTGGGCATGTGGCGTGCCTCTCCCGACAATGACATCGGGCTCTGATTGCACTTCCAGCTCATGTCCCTGAGATAGGAGGCTCTGAAAAATAGAAGATCAGACTAATTTGCACTTCCCAGGAGGCCAATTATGGAAACCCCTACAACTTAGGAAGGGGACAGGAATCAAAGGCTCCCAATCAGGACGCCCTTCTTCATACCGCTCAGCATATGCTGGAAGAGCCGTCAGGCTCGTTTCCCTGCCACGAAGCGGACCTGGCGTGGGGACACATGTCAGGAAGCAAATGTTGCGCCTGCCACCTGCACGTTGCTGCCTTTAAAGAGATAAAACAACCACAGAGTCACAGGCCTTTAAGGCTGAAGCAGACCAACCCCTGGCCCATCTCCAGACCTCTTAGCTTCAACCAAGGTGAATCGCTCGACAAAAAATAAACACATCGAATGCCAATTTCATTGAGCCCATAAGTCAACTATACTTGAAAATATGTTTCTATGGCCTGGATATTTACCAAAGGCTCTTATGTTCATTGTTTCAATCTATCCTCGCGATAGGCCTGGGGGACAGGTATTGTTATCAGCCCAATAGGCAGGTCAGGAAACTGTCAATGGAAACAGAGCCCTAGCCGATGACAGGGCTCCGGCTGTTCTTCAAGGCTCCTCCCCACCTCCCCATCCTCGGAGGGGGTCTTACCAACTTCCTGGTCTCCCAGACCCTCCTGAGTGTATGGTTTGTACTGGCCCCTTGTCTTGTGTGTGATGGGAGTTGCTGTCCAGAAACTGGTGACCCGGCATCCAGCCTGTCCCACCTTAAGGCCAGCCTCACCCTTCAAGAGCAGGTGCTTGGGTCCCGCAGGTGTTCTGGAGACATCCACTGATGTTTTTATAGAATGCTAGTGCTGGAAGAAGTCTCGGAAATGGTCTCATTTTGTAAGTCAGAAAATTGAAGTCTGCAATCAGACCGACTGTTGGAGTCAGCGAAATCGCCCCGAACCCAGGACTCTGGGTCCAGTGCTCTTCCCACGACTCCACATTGGTTCACAGCCTCCCTGTATTAAATCAAGTGCCAGAACCCAAGGGGTTTCTTCCAAAAGCTGCTCCGGACAGAATGTCCTCTGCCCTTCCCCGGCCTGCCGGGTGTCTGTTCCACTCCACGTGTCTGCAGAGAAATCCCTGGAGCGGCCCCTGAGGGTTTTTCTCCAGGAAGACTTCCCTGCACTCCCTGTTCTCACACCCCTCCCACTTGATGACGGCTGGGGCTGGCCTCAGGGCCTGACGTCGCCTTCCTGGTGACTGTCATCCCAACTCCAACACATGCCATCCCCAGGACATTCTTCATGGTGGCAACTGGCTCTGGACTTCCGCCACCCTTCAGGATCCCTTACGTGGCAGGCTGAAGGTCACCTTGGTGTGGCTGCTGAGTACTACAGCTGAATTGAAGATCATGAACCCCCTGACTCAGCTCCCCCGTGCCTCTGTCTTGCCTCAGTCTACAGAGGAGGAGGGCACCCCTCAAAATGAGGTGAAGTGTGTCGCCAGGGCCACACTTCCGCTCAGAGCTGAGACAGGAATGCCGAGCACAGGGCTCCTGACTCCTGGCATTTGAGAGCTGGTGATGGTCTTAAAGTCAGTTTCATCCGGGCCCTGGTCCCACGTGATGCCACGTTGCCTCTTCCAATGAGCCCTCATCCTCTCTGGCCTTGTGTTTCCACAGGCTGCCTCCCTGTTTCCCCTTTATCCTCCTGTGGCCCTCCACGTCCAGCCCCGAGGGTTTATCTGCTTCCTCGGCCAGCCTGTCTCAGGCTGCAGAGAGGCCGCCATCGTGTGTCCAGCAGGGAGTCTCCCCAGGCTCACCCGTACAGTACAGAACACGTCTCGCCAGCCTTCCTCCCTCCCTGCAAGACCCAGCTCCCCGGCCTCCCAGCCAGTGAGGCAGAGCAGGAACCCAAGGCAGCACCACCTGCCCTGAGCCCATGAGCCTGGCCAGCAGGCAGAGCGCTCTATCCTCAGGGGCTTGGGGCCACTGGCGCTTCTCAGATCTGGCCCTGAAGCTGGATGGACCATGGCTGGCCTTCTCCGGAGGAGTGACCCCTCCTGTCTCCCAGACAAGGGCCGGGAAGCCCCCTGCTTTTAGCGAGAGTAAAACTCACCCTTGGAATCGCCTCCTAGCCTGTTGTAACTGGTTTTGCTGGGAGCCCTCAGCCCTGGGCTTTCTGGGAGATAGAAAGCTCGCAGTGTCCTGTGCCCACCCTGTTTGCCGCTGTCAAAGGGGCGGCGATTCCCTGGACGGCGACTGCAGCCTACCACAGCTGGCCCTCAGCCGGGGCGAGGCAGGCCCATGCTGACTCCCACTTCTTCAGCTCTCAGTGATGTGTGTACACGCACCCATGTGTGTCCATACATGCGTGTTAACATGCGCACACATGCATGCACGTGCGTGTGCATGTGTGCGCGTGCCTACATCTCACGTGATGTCATAAGAGGCCACGGTGAAGGTGGAGAGGCAGCTCATGGAAACATAAGGAAAGATAAAGCATTGTACTGTGGGAAAACTCAGGCTTTTTCTCAGCCCAGACCGCCCCACCTCTCTCTCCGGCCTCCTCTGTGAAGCAAAAGGCCTCTGGACTCCCTGCTGCTCCTGGCATTCTGGAAACTGCCCATCCGCCCCCTCTCCTCCACTCAGGGTCCTTAATGCATCGGCCTTTGCCCGCTCCAGCCGACCTTTCCCGCTTCCTGCCTCCTTGGTCTCAGCTGGGCTCTTCTGCCTCGTCCAAGCTGCTGCGGGGTTTCCTTTCCTGAGCCCTCCCGGGCAAGGGCCGCAGAGGCCTCCTGAAGGTGGGAGGGGACGCCTACAGTCCTGAGGCCTGCTGCCCCGAGGGGGAGGGCTGCTTGAGCATCTCTGTCCCTCTGTGAACATTCTCGTGGGATGCAGGAGAGAGGCCGCCTGTGGGAAGGGCCTTATCTCTGCGGACTGCTGTGGGGTCCGCCACGCCCCTCACGGATCTTTCTGCCACACTCCCGGATTGATGGGCTTGGGCAGGGTCACAGCCCTGGAGAGATGGCTGGAAATGGCCTAGGGGTGGTTCTAGGAGCTGTCACCCATCCCCAGGTTCCCTCCTCACGCCTTCTCTTCTGTCCTTCCCTCTACCTGCCAACCTGTCCCCTCTGCCACCTCCTCTTGTCCGCCCCCCCTCCTCCACATACCTTTGGATGGACTGGTGGTCCATTCCCTCGGGACATTTGAATTGTGTCGGGGGCCCTTGAAAAGGTTTTAGGCGCAAGTAAAAGGGAGGGAGGGGGGAGGGAAGGAAAGAAATAAGTTTGGGGAGAGTCTTTCTTCCTCCTCTACTTTCCTGGGAAGGGATTGAACCGGAGAGTAATGGAAGTTGTCTTTGCACTGGTTTATTGCTTTCAAGCATGTGCTCTCCCTTGATCCTCCTATATGTCCCTAAAGAGGGTAGGGCTTCCAACTGCAGTAAGAGATTGCAACTCAGAGAGGCTACGTGATTGATCAAGGTTCCAAAGCTAGCACATGGGAGAGACGAGACCAGAACTCAGGCCCCAGGCCTCCCTGTCCAGTGCCCTGTCCACCTCCTTACACCGCCTCCCAGGGGGCACCAGGAGGGCTGTCACCACGGGCCGCGTGACTCCCAACACACTGGAAGCACGGGTTCCAGGTTTGGGAGTGAGGTGCCCCGGCCCCCGGCAGTCCTGAAAGCCGTTCGTCCTTGCAGGCCTCGATTACCGTGTGAAGACGGTGCACGTGGACGGCTCTCGGGTGGCCTTGCAGCTGTGGGACACGGCCGGGCAGGAGAGGTGAGGAGCTGCCCCGGAGGTCTGGGCACGGAGGGCAGGCTGCCCACGCCTGACCCACGCCCTTCTGTGGCAGGTACCGCTGCATTACCCAGCAGTTCTTCCGAAAGGCCGATGGCGTCATTGTCATGTACGACCTCACGGCCAGGCAGTCATTCCTGTCGGTCCGGCAGTGGCTGAGCAACGTGGAGGTGAGCCGACGCCCTTCTCAGGCACACTCAGGCCTAACTGCCCCAGCCCCTTCCTTCCCTGCCATCTCCACCCTGCATTCTGCATGCTCAAACCCGGATTCAAACTCACCTTCTCCGGGAACAAACCCATCCGGAAGTCTGTCTGTCTGTCCAGCCGAGTTCCCGGTACCAGGCTCATGACTGGGAACCCAGGAGTGAGCAAGACAGACACAGTCCCTGCCATCATGGAGAGAGGGGGACACAACAAGTCCAGTTTACGCCAGCAACAGTGATGTTTCTCTGTGCCAAGAGTGAGCTGGTTGGATTGGGGGAGCAGGCGCAGAATGGCATGTCAAGGAAGGTTTCCCTGAGAAGTCAGTGCTTAAGTTGCCTCACAGCCAAATTTTTCCCTCCTTCTCGCCACCTCCTCTCCCCACGCCCTGGGTCTTTCTAGCTCCAGTGGCTTCCGCTGTGCCCTGCCCTGGAGCTGCAGGATTCAGTGTTCGGGGCCTCTGTGAAGCCCTTCACAAGGGGAGATTGAGCCACTGCATGAGGCCACCAGGCTCACCCCAAAGCCAAGGGGCAGGGCAGGGCCCAGAAGCAGCTGTGTTCCCTTCGGGTCCTGAATGATCTGCAGGACGCTGCTCTCTGACTCCTGCTGGCAACGTGTCTCTCTGCCAGGCCTTTGGCTTCCTGACCGTCTGCCCCCCTTTCAGCAGCTGATTCAGGCATCTCAAGGCCAAGGGCGCAATGGACAAGCCTCCGGTTGCTCTTCACAGCACCTGGGCTGACTCTTTCGCTAAACAGTCACAAAGGGTATCCCCACCCTTTCCCCCAGCAGGGCTCATTGTGTGTTCATTTATTCGTCCAAAACACTGCCAGGCACTGTCCTGGGGGCTGGGGATTCCAGCAGCAAAGAGGACCAGGCCCCTGTCCTCACGGAGCTTCCGTTCAGCTCTCTGCTCCGAGTCCCTGAGACCCTGCAGACCCTGCCACTTACTCATCACACAGCTGCCGATCACATATTAGCCGCTGGGCCCTGTGCCTCTGAGAACTGAAGCTGCATGGGTGTCACTGTGACCCGGTGCTTGGAACAGGGTCCCCCACAGCTAGAGCTCAACAGCAATTAGATGGGTGAATAGATCCCATGTTGCGGTGAAGCAGAATCCGGGAGTTGTTCATTTCTTCCTCCCTTTGGACCCTAAGATCTATGACTCCTTCCACCCAGATGTTTCTCTCATAGCTTTGACTGGCGCGGCCATTCTCTCTCTCTGCACTGTCCATCTGCATTTTTCTGGGTACCAGGAAAAATAAGGAGCGACATGGAAGCCAGATTCAAGGGTTTCCCAGAGATTTTTCTTAATACAAATTACTTCTCAAAATCACTGTGCCCAAAACACTTACAGATGAGAAAATGTGTTGAAAGGGAGTTAGCGGATTGTCTATACACTGAACTAGGAACAGAAGCAAATGGTCGGGGGTAAATCTTGCAGTAATTCCTATTTAAACTTCAGAAGTTAAGACGTGATTTTTTGTTACTTTTCTTTCCTGTTGTTGTTGTTGTTGGCGGCAGCCCCAGCAGCCTTTTCTTCCTCCAGGAAGTAGGAGAGACTTTAGGGATTACTACTCCAGGGATTTGCAGGCTTTCTTCCTTGGAGCCCCGGAATGGGACTGGCGCTCCCCAGAGGTTTCGTGTCACAGGTTGGGGTCCTTAGATCTGTCCTCCTCCTTGTCTATTGGAGGTCCAGATACAATTTCAAAGAGTTTCCCTTTGAAAACCACCCAAAAACCACCTGTCTAATGCAGCCAACTCATTCAAAAGGGAAGGCCTGGAAGCCCTAACTTCTCCAAGGTCACCTGACCTTCACCTAGCCACAGACATTTCACGATCCCTCATTGTCTACATTTTTGTATACGCTAGGGCTAAGAGGAGGTAGTCCAGGTGGTCTGGGACTCCTAGGAATGGATAGAGACAAATGTATGGAACTATGGTCTCTGCCATTATTGGGGACCATAGTTCCCAAGACTCCCGTTTTGTGTAGGGAGCTGGGTCTAGCAAGACCTGTGGAGCATGGGGTTGAACTTAGAGGAAGAGGTGGGGAACTCTCAGGAGGCCGTCATCACGACTTGAAGGGCGAGTCTGGTGATTCTCCAGAAAACTGTGTGCCAAGCCTTGGTTGTTTGGCTCGTTCCTTTATGGGTCCAGGCCAAAGAGCATCACCCACGTGTAGCTTTGGAAGCCTTGGTCTGTGGGCTTAGGAAGCCAGACCTAGATGGTCAATCCACACACAGTTAACTCAGAATTGTCTGCGTGTGGATGGAGCCTTTCTGTATAATTTGTAGTTTGAGGGTATTTTCTCTCTTAAAAATTTTTGCAGAGGATACTCTAAGTAATGACGCTCAACCTAGATGAACATCAGACTCACCTGTGGAGCTTTTAAACAAAACGGATGCCAGGGCCTTCACTGGCAGAATGCTCCAAGGCCTAGAAATTTTTGTAAAAAATTAACATCTCCCCAGGGGATTTTGATTCTCACCTACCACAGCTCCTAGCCTAAGCAAGTGTTTTGTGAACTCTGACATATTTTAGCATCTCCCAAGGGTCTTGTTAACATGCAGAGACTGATTCAGCAAATCTGGACTGGAGTCTGTGATTCTGTGTTTCTCTTTTTTTTTTTTTTTGAGTTGGAGTCTCACTCTGTCACCCAGGCTAGAGTGCAGTGGCACGCTCACAGCCACCGTAACCTTGACCTACTAGGCTCCAGCGATCCTTCCCCTCAGCCTTCCAAGTAGCTGGAACTACAGGCGTGTGCCACCACACCCGGCTAATTTTTTGATTTGCTGTAGAGATGAGGGCTCACCAAATTGCCCAGGCTGGTCTCGAACCCGTGGGCTCAGGCAATCCACTCGCCTTGGCCTCCCAAAGTACTGAGATTATAGGCGTGAGCCACCGCGCCCAGGCGACTCTGTGTTTCTAACAGGTTCTCAGGTGAGACGGATGCTGTTGGTCCAGGGACCACCCTTTGAGTAGCAAGACTCTGAATCATTTTCAAAGACACCCGTGACCCTCGCCAAGAATTTACTAAGTGCCCAATGGCACACCCGGCACACACCGGGTGCTCAGGAGAGCTCGATACGAGAGACCAGGAAATACATTCAGTTCAAGAGCCCAGGGACTTGGGAGCAAATGCCGGAGGCTGTGTCAAATGGCGCAGTGTGTGTTGAAGGAGTGAGCGATGGCATCATAAATGCAATTATTCTCCAGATTCTTGAAAAGCTAAGTCATTCTGCCTTGGCAACCAGCAATCAGAGGTGTCAGGTGATAGATTAAAACTTGACACCTAATTTAATCCAGAGGGGAACTGAAAATAATAAGTACTTTACATTTGTGGAGTGACTTATTTTTCCAAAGAGCTCCAAGCCTTTTACCAACTCCCTCGCCCAGAGAAGGAGGGTGGAGGGGGAGCTTTAATAACAGCCTTCAAGGCTCTGAAGCCTTATTATGAAGTGAATGGTGGCCAGCTGTTCCCAGCGCCCCTTCTTCCAGCAACCTGGAAAGCCTACGAGGAAGAAAAGGGCATCAGCTGCGATGCACGCAGTTGACTGACTTGCAGGGGTAAGACTTGCTCTTGAAAGAGGTTGTGTGGGCAGGAATAGATGCTCCCTTGGGGGAGATGATAGAGCTCCCAAAAAAGGAAGTTCTTACCATCCCAGCCCAGCCACTTCCTGGCCATGAAACTGGGGCCAGTCATTCAACGAGGCAGTGGATGGTCAGACCCCAGATTTTACAGTGTATGGTATTTGACTGTCTCAGGGATAGGGAGGGGGCAGTAGTCTAGATGAGAGGACCCTGGAGGATCCTTCCAGCCCCGAGGGAACCAATGTCGAACACCTGCCCCGCTTCATGGGGCGGGAAGGTCCTGCTCTCACCGCTGTTCTCCAATCTCACCATGCCTAGGCACTCTGCCCTGCCTGCCAGGCTTCCGCAGAAGAGGCACCAGCTGAGCCTAGACACACTCTGTACCGATTCCCCTGTGTACGTTATGGGAAGTCAACACAGTCATTCCTGCCAACTCAGCATCCCCACCCCCACTCCCTTCTCCTCTCTCTTGGGTAGAACTGGGTGAACCGTTCCAATCCAGAGAAGAAGCCAGGTGGGCTCTGAGAATCCCATGGATGCCTGTGGGACAAACTGGGCATCTGAAGACTCTGTGGCCTGTGTCGGGCAGAGAAAACAGAATTTGGTACGAGCTGTTGAGGCTGGTGTTCTCCCCCAGATCCAACAAATCCAGATTGTTGGTCCTCAGTATCTGAGGTGCTGGGATGCCAAACTTCTTGTTTAGACCCTTTTGTCATTCTGAGAGCACTATATTGTTCGGGCTGTGAGTCAAGGAAATAGGACTGGAGTGGCTAAGCCAAAGAGACCGGCGTCTCTGAGCTGGCAAAAAAACGTGGAGATTAATCTCATGCAACCTCTTGTTTTATAGGTAAGAAAGACCAAGATCCAGAAAGAGGAAGTGTCTCGTCCAAAGGCACCCACAGCTTGTTGGTAGCACAGCCAGATCTAGAATCTAGGGCAGGGGCGCTGCATTGTGCGTCTGTCTAGTCCCATGGTCCATGGCTAAAATCTCCTGGAAAACAGGTGTTCATTTCTTTTTCAGTCCTCCTTGCTTCTGTCTCAAAGCAGAACCGTTCTTCAGCTTAAGGGGCCCTGGCCCACTTCCCTCTCCCTTCCCAGGCTCCTAGCTAAATCTCATTCTGTGATCTTTGTCATTGCACGGAGCAAAAAATAGCAGTTTGATTTTTTTCCCCCACGTTCCAAGTTGAGCTTGAAGTGCTGGCAGTTTAAAACGAGCTACACAAATAAATCTTGTTTTGACTCATAGTCCAGGGGGTGGATAAATATGGAAACCCCCAAGATATAATTTTGCAGTCTTTTTTTTTCTTAGCATAACTGCATGCTCTAATGTGCTGAGAAATTTTTTGTTCTGGCTCCAGAGAAATAACAGCACTATCCCAGCTAAGTGCTTTTCATGCCTCCCAGCAAATAGATATTCACACACACACACACACACACACACACACACACACACACACACACCCACCACCACCACCACCACCAACAACAACAACAACCAACTAAACCCAATAGCTGCACATTCTGAGCTGAATGCTGATCTTCTGCTCCCGGTTGACAGCTCTTGTTATTTAAAATCAGAGATGGGTGATCTTTTGAATTTCAACAAGTCTGCCTTCCAACAAGCTCAAGTTCAGAGAGGGTTTCAAGTTCAGAAAAAGGCGGCTCAAATGGTTGAAGGAGCAGGGAGGGTTCTCGGTGAGAGGGTCACGGAACAGACTCTGGCTTCAGAACAGAGACACAGAGAAGAGGAAAAGCCCAGATGAGTCCCACGGAGAGAAGGCGACAGCCAGGGCGGAGCCCACCCCTCCCAAAGAGAGACTGTGTGCCTGGCAGGGGAGTTAAGGTTTCTCCACTCTGACCTGCCAAGCCTACGGGATTTTTACCCATGTCTATCACAATATCAACCAAAGAGGTGGTGGACCTGGGACTTGTTCACCAAAGTCCCAGAGGCTTGAAGGAGGTACACTCTGGAAGTGTTGCTTCCTCTAGCAGGTCACCATGAGCAGTACACGGCTGAACATCTAGTTAGCTGTAAGAAGGATAGAAAGTTTAGGCAGAGAGTTCAAGATACTTTTGGGGTCACAGTCAAAGAGAACCATGGAACACCCGCCCACACCAACCCCCCTCCAGACGCCTGTGTCAGAGACTGGCCTTGGACCAGGGTGACAAGTGACTGCCTGTAATAGTTAGCGTCCTCTCTGGCCTTTCGTGTGTTCTTTTTTATTTTTGCCAAATCCTTGTTTATGGGTCTAGCTCTCCTTTATCAGAGGCAGACCAGGGCCCCTGGAGAAGAAGGGAGTTGACTAGGGTGGTTGTGTAAGAGAGAAACTATACGGGCCAGGCGTGGTGGCTCACACCAGCAGTCCCACTTTGGGAGGCCAAGGCAGATCGCTTGAGTCCAGGAGATTGAGACCAGCCTGGACAACATCGTGAAACCTTGTCTCTATAGAAAATTTTTTTAAAAAGTCAGCCGTGGTGGTGCACACCTGTAGTCCCAGCTACTTGGGATGCTAAGGTGGAAGGATCGCCTGAGCCCCGGAGGTCGAGGCTGCTGTGAACCTGATTGTTGTGTTCATGACACTGCACTCCAGCCTGGGTGACAGAGTGAGACCCTGACAGAGAGAGAGGAAGAGGAGAGGAGTGGAGAGGAGAGGAGAGAAGAGAGACCATGGATCCAGAGAGAGAGAAACCATGGCTCCAGCCGGGTGCATTGCTTTTTTCCTGATCCTTCTAAGCTCCTTTATTTTTCTATCCAGGGATTACTTTAAGAAAGAAAGGGGGAGGGGAAAGAGAAGACTGCCCCTTCTTTTCCCAAGGGCCCGGATGTGGAGCTCATGACCCATTCCCTGCCTCATCCTGTTTGGTCATTCAGCCAGATGTAGCCATCATTCCTCCTGCCAATGAGGAAGTGGAAGCCATCCCCATCCAAATAATAACAAAATCCAGGTTAGAATCCTGCCCTGGGGTTTCAAGTCTGATGCTCATATTTTCAGAGTTTCCATGTCAAGAAATCCCACAAGCCTTAGTCATTCCTCACACATGAATCTACAAATATCTCTCTCCCATGTGTTCTAAACAGCAAGCTGTTTGGCCCATTGCCCTGCTTCCTCCTCTTTCCTTCCTTTTCTGTGAAAAACTCTTCGCACAAGCACTCTGCAGCCCAGAAGGGGGTATTCCCATTAACGAACACTTCGGCTAATAGGGGGCCGCAGGACTCTAGATATGCCGGAAGTGGGTTTCTCACGTTCAGGGAATTGGAATATGATACGATCCACTTAGCACGTCAGCCACAGTGTCCTGAATCCAATCTATTTTTGATGGGTCAGAAGATACTGTAAGAGCTGGTAGTGCCTTTGAGTCATCGTTGCACACATCTATTACCATCTTGCCAATGGATACCGTTTTTAGAGCGTTCTTGTTAATAAGATGTTAGGCAGCAGCGACTTGATGGAAAATAAGAATTCAGAGAAAAAAAGGTTAGGGAACCGCGACCCCATAGACTGAAGAGTCCTCATAATTTAGTGCCTCTGTTGTTCAATATTCTTTTGGACACCCTCATCCTTAACTTTCTCATTTAGTAAATGAGAATTTTTTCCACTATTGAACTGCAGAAGAAGCCAATGTGCAGATTAAGACGTGGAGGCTTATTTTCAGATGTAACAGCATTTACATTTAAAGTAACTGTACCTATCGGTTGGACTTTAGACGTTTCTTTGAAACGCTGAGGGAAAATAGCTAAAGTATTGGCAAAACTCTAACTGCTTATTAGACTCTGTGATCCCAGGGTCCCTTCTATTTGGTGAAGCATTTAGCTACAGTGAATAACAATTTGTTACCAAATTATGATTAAAAGCCCCTAATTAAATATTTAAGTAGAAATAACAGCCTTCTTAAGTGTGAACGTGACTGTATTCACTCACTGAATGGCAGTGGGCCCTCGGGAGAGGCACACTCAGTGCCCCCTCATGAGGGGTGGGAGGACCCCGGGATGCACACCCCTGGCTGGTGAGCGGTAGCCACAGGGCCAGTGGGTAGGGCGACGCCTTGAGCAAGCCTGTGACATCTAGCCCAAGCAGTGCTGCTGCCGTGGCCACATATTCTTCCGCATGCAGGGCCCTCTTCAGAGCCACGGCTCCCGGCGACAGGGGTTGGTGATGCCTGTCTCCAGTGAGACACACGGCAGCCATGAATGGAGCCCAGGGGGTGCAGGACCAGGAAACATGTGGATCCAACCCTCAGGGAGCTTATGAACCAATGTGAGGCCTTTGGAGATGCCATTTCAAATCAGAGCAGCTCCAAGCCACAGTGCCTGCATGCACTTGGCCCCTCGACTAAGTCTTGCAACTTGGACATGCCCTCAGGGCGCTGTGAGCCCAGGAAAGGAACACACAGTCCATCCACGCCAGTCATGCCTTCGTGCCCCTACCTGCTCCCCAGTGTATCTGGGGGCCTGCTTTGCCTCCCAAAATCTGAGGAGAGGGGCGAAAGGGGAGTGGTCATGTCACAGATGGGGACTGGGAGACCCCAGGGGCAGGCCTCAGCGCCTGGCAAAGGTGTGGAGAACTGAGGCGCTTGGAGAAGGCAACCCCGTTCCTCCCGGCTGAGGCAGTGGGGATTCTCAGGCCCGCTCTGAGTGTCCAGCCGGCATTGTGGCCTGCCCTGGGGCCCCTCGTTCAACTCCAGGATTGTCTGTTCTGCAGGAAGCTGTGGGGGACCTGGTTCCGGTTCTTCTGCTGGGTAATAAGCTGGACAATGAGAAAGAGCGGGAAGTCCCCCGAGGCCTCGGAGAGCAGCTCGCCAAGGTAAACGGCAAGCGTTTCCACTGCAGGACACGGTGGGACCCCAGGGCAGCTGGGCATGTGCCCAAGAGCCTTGGTGGGGGATCTTCTCTGGAAGGCCCATGGGAAGAAAGCGATTGGGCAAGGTGGTGGTCTCAGCTTCATGGGAACAGCCCAACTCCTGTGCGTGGAGAACTGTCCATAGAAATCTAGAGGTCACAAGATGGTGTTGGCTAGGGACCTCTGGGGTGTGGGAGTCATCCCAAACTCTCCTCCTTGGAGCTCAGAATTACAAAGTCTAAAGTAGGAAGAGGTGACTTATTTCAAGCCCCCTCTGATATCTGAATTTCATCATCTGCGCTTCCACTTGATCACCCTCAGGGATGGACGCCTCACTCTCTGCAAGCCAGCGTGTTCTTCTGAACGCTCTGCTAGAGAGCTCCTCCTTTCCGTGAAGATTGAGCCTCAAAGCTGGGAACTCAGACCCAGGAGATACACTAGAAAACCTCCCATTAAAATAAGCAGCAGCCCTCTTGCCCAAGAGTGGAGTTGGCAGGGCAACAAAACTGTGGGTCCCTAGCCTCGCCCACTGCCTCAGAGTTTGGTTTCTGGGAACTGGGGACCTGGGAGAGTGGGGTGCTTACCAGCCTCATGATTCTGTCATTCTTAGTGTGCTCACGCTCAACAGGGACACCCGTACTCAGAGCCCGGGAAATGAGCACAGATGGAAAGACTGGAGAAAGGGAGGAAGAAGAGCCTGGCAGGTGTCTCTGCGGACGGGCGTTAGACAGTTAAACATCCACTGTTCCAAAACCCAAAGAGCTCTGAAAGCAGAAAAGGGCCTTTTGCATGTTATCTGGCAGAAACATCTGACTGGAGATGACACGAGGCTATTGACGGTCTTTTACCTCACTTTGAGTGAATATTGGAATGTCCCACTGAAGACATATTAATAGATTTAATTATAGGGTGCTGTCCTAAACCCGCTGAGGGTATTATATAATATATAGTATATGCATGCATTACCTTTCCGAAATGCAAAACATTCTGGATTCCAAAATACATCTAGATCCAAAGATTTTAGTCAAGGTATTGCAGGCCAATATTTTTCTATATTATCACGATCCCATCTTCTTTTCTTGTTTTTTTTGGGGTCAATCAGTGAAAATAAAAAACTGAGACTCAGGTATTAAGTGATCCGTTCACATGATCCCAGAGCTTCTCTGCGGTAGGTCAGAACTTGAAGCTGAACTTGAAGAATTTGAAGTCCTGTCTTCCTCTTGTAGACCTTATAACCTTCTTTTCTCCACCCCCACCCTATGGAGCCTCTATTTTTTGCTGGAATGACCCAAAGTCCAGGTCTGACAGAAGTGTGGACAGGGAGAGATTGGAGCCTGGGGGAAAGGTCGGGGGTGGGGTGGGAGTAGAGGCTGGAGCAGGGTCTGCGGGTGTGGCTGGGGAAGGTGTCCGGGGAGCTGGCATTGGTAGAGCCTTCTGGGCCGTGGCCTCAGATGTGTCGTCGCCCAGCTGGCCCCCGTGCCCACGGGTCTCAGACTCGAAGGAGAGATCTTCCAAAGACAAGGTCTTTGTGCCGTCTGCACTGTCTGATGGCAATCACGTCCCATTATTGGTAGTCTATTGATGGCGTTGATCAGTTGAATACCATGAGCCTTGGCCAAGGGTGCCCCACCATGCGTGCCGCCCAGCCTCGTCCTAGTGAGGTGACGGGCAGTTGCCCTGTGCGCCAATGCTGACAGCCTGGCGGCTGGAGCGTCAATTCACTCGTGTGAAGGAGAATTCCCACTGGCGTGCCCCGTGACATCTGTTCCCAGGCCCAGAGGACACCCGTGTCCTGGTAGACATGTGCTGCAGGGAGCCCTGCCATTAAATGTGACCTGAATGGGCCAGCCATGTGCCTTCTCTCCTTTCAGTTGCCCTGTCTGTGAAGTGGAAAGAATGCTGACCTCCCCAGTCTCGCTTCTTTGCCTGTAGCGTAGGGTGGTGTCAACACGAAATGGGTATCTGGTGCTCAAGCATAACTCAGAGCATGTAGAAGCACTAAGGCAGCACCTGTTTTTTTTTTTTTTCCAATTACTGCAGCTCACCTGGGAGATAGCTACGGAACTCATGTCAGTCAGGGAGGCTGTGGCAACCGAAACCAGCCATACACAAAGGGAGGGGGATGCGGATGAGATCAAGGGACCTGTGAGAGGAAAAGCAACCTCTAGGCAGATGTAGACAGGGCACTCCCCTACCCCTGCAGCCCCTCTTGTTCCCCAGAAGTGATGTAATATTTATTCCCTCTGTTTTACGATTCTAGCAGAACAATCTGATCTTCTATGAATGTAGTGCGTATTCTGGCCACAACACCAAAGAGTCCCTGCTGCACCTGGCCAGGTAAAGGAACACACAGGGTGGAGCCGCTCTGCTGAGTCCAGCCATGCCAGCCTGGCAAGAGGCACTGCTTTTCCCTCCGCCCAGAGCCCTGGGCCCCTTCCTTCCTGTCTGGGGCACTCTGAGTACAGGCCCTGGGGTTCCAGGTCTTTGTGTGGGCCGTCAGTGGTTAAGGGCAGCCTTCTGATACACAGCAATGTTGCAAAACAAAGCAGCGCTGCCTGTCACCCCTCTGCAGTCTCCAGAGTCTTAAAAACTGACTTTTCCCAGCGATTCTCTTTTTTAATGCAAATCCTCCTGGGAAAGGTTAGACCATAGGCCCCTGATATCTTAGCAGAGATTAGTGGCAGCCAGCTGGGAGCAAGAATGGGTTATAATCTAAGTTCCTGTTGGTGAGGTGGGAGCTAGGAGCCAGGGAGGAGAGAGGCTGTGATGGGTTACCAGTGGGAGGTAAAAAAAGGTGAGCCAGGTGCTGGAGGGACTGGTCACTTGGAGAGACTGGCTCCTCAAGACCCTACCTACACCAAACCTCAAGGAAACACAACCATACTGGAATCCATTTTCAACCCTTGGGCATTCATTCATCCATCTGGGCATTTACTTTTTCCCATCTATCCATCCATCCAACAAATACTTAAGTGCCCATTTTGCGCTCAGCACTCATTCTAGGCCATTAAAAAAATGTTTTTTGCTTTGTTTTTGCTCTTTTTTTTTGAGTAATTAAGAGCCCAGAATAACTCCTCTATGGAGAAGGGATGGGGTTATGGAGTACCATAAGGAAAAGTTCTAAGCTTTTCTCTGCCCCTGACTCCCCAGGCAAATCTCCCTCCCTCTCTGGGCTTTGATGGTCAGGCAGGAACATCAGTCATTCCCTCTATCCCTGCCATTCACAGGTTGTCATGGGAATCAAAGAGATGCTTTAGATGAAGGTGAATGTGCTTTGAAAGTGTGTAAGGGACGTCCCATTATTGGTAATCACTCACCTCCTACGTGTAGTCTGGGGCTTGGCCACATCACGCCGCCCTTCTGTAGAAGTAACGACCAGTCTGTATGTTTGGATCCTCTCCTGTGTCGGTTGCTGGGAAAACAGCAGAGACGCAGGCGAAAGAGACCGTTTCTGCCCTTGAAAAGCTCATCCCCTGGCGCGGGAGCCGGTCATGGAGGCAGCGGTTATGACACTGAGTGACGGGCTTATGACAGAGAAAGGGTCGGAATGCTGTCAGGGGCACTTAGACCCACCTGAAGGATTGGAGGAGGCTTCCTAGAAGAGGTGTCTTGAAGGGTCCATGCTCTGTCTCTGCGACTGCAGTCATGCACCCTTCTGCCCTCTCTCTGACGCCCTGGCGAGGCCAGGGTCTCTCCATATCGCCCAGATGTCCTGTGACCTAAGGGTGCCTGGCCCCAGGCCTAGCGTTTTCCCCATTACTGACACCCTCCCTTCCCCTTCCCCAGGTTTCTCAAGGAGCAAGAGGACACAGCCAGGGAGGACACCATTCAGGTTGGCCGCGCCAAGAAGAAATCCTGCTGTGGCTGATGGAGGGGCCCTCCCGGGGCTGTCGCCGCCCCAGCCTGAGGTCTCAGAGCCTAGCCTGATCCGGCCCACGGGCTCCTGCGCGGATGCCGCCCACTGAAGCCCGCCCAGACCTTTGTCCTTGTCACTCACGCGCCTCCCCCAAAAGGCAGAGAAGGGCATCCCGTTAGCAGAGTCGCTCCTGGAGCACCTTGGAGTCTAGTCCCTTCCTGGTCTCTCTAGAACCTAGACGCCCATAGCTTTTTTGTTGGTTTGTTTTTTCTCTGGCTTGGTTTCCTGGGGGCAAGAAGCAGATGGGCTTTCCAGAACAGCCACTACCTGCCGTCTCAACCTCCCTGCTCCTTCCTCCCCTTGCCCTCAGGAGCCTCAGCTCTGCCATTGCCATGGCAACCGCGCAGGGGCTGACTTGCCGCTTCCTGCAGGCCAAAGATACACCACGCAGGTGATGCCAGGGGAGCTTGTCTCGCGTGGCTCCTGTTCTCCGGAGGCCGCAGGGATGCTCTCGGTCTGCTTCATGGACCTTGACATATCCGAGCTGTGGAGTGACGTGAGCCAGGGCGGCCACATTCACTCTACTCCCCC